AGGAAGTGGTGTTTTAGGGATTTTCTTCTTTTAAAAGCAAAATAAACCTTTGTTCTTTCAAAACTGAATTCCTAGCCTCTCTTCACTTGTTCTGGAAAGTAGGGTCAAAAGACCTTGTGACCAGAGTTATATAAAAAAATCTCCACTGAATTCTGTTAAGTATTTAGGAAGTCTCTTAGGTTCAGCACAAATAATACATGCTCAAGCATACAGACAATTTGTGGCTTAATTGCACCTTCGTGCGTTTCGCAGACATCTGTTGCTAAGCATTTACTCGATGTTACCTATGTCTCTAAGAAAATATAGCAGTCAATACAGATTGCTGGAAGAATTGCTCGCACTCTTGAGAAATAAGGGTCCTTATTTAGACACCTAACTTTGCACATCTTTAATACCATTGCTTAACAGTCCAGTTAGATGAAAGCTCTTCCTTAAAAGAGTTTTCAATATGTAGCAGTTCAAAGCAACAGCCAGAGCAAACTTCTATTTTGCAAACATCAGCAAAAAAATCACCTTACCTGTAGGAAGAACTGGTAACGGTTTTCCTTCCAGCTTATCCAAATCCGTAGTAAATAATGGGATTCTGGGATCGTCATATGCAACAACCTCCCTTTATAATATACATAAGATTTTAAAATTATTTTTAATTATTTAGAATAAAATTATATATTTTATTTTTTCACATAAAATTATATATTTTATTATAATAATATTTATTATTCAAATTTGGCAGATACAGCTGAAATGGAATTTCTAATAAAATAAGGTAAGGCGGCATTTATGGTGCAATAACTGGTAAAGCTTTGCATAGAAGACTCGCCTCTGTTTGATGAAGATTATAAAAAAAAAAAATTAGTGAGAAGTTTCTTTGCATAACTCATCTGTTTTCCCTCATTGGCTGTCAGGATTTTCAGCTATACAAGAAGTATAGTTTATGAAATTATGGGAAGAATGGTGTCAACTCTAAGAATACTTGGGGGCAGGGGGAAGCCTTCATTTTGAAGAAAGCCATCTAAACTTCTTTGAAGGAGCTTAAATACACATTCTACTCTTTTTGCCATTCATTTAACAGAAATCATTCCATACGTAATGACGAGGCTGAAAAAGTAACTGAGAAGCAGATAAGCTTTGAACATCAGCACTAATTAAAGTGTAAACATTTGTATTTTTTGTCTCCCTCCTAAACCCTCTATATTTTTTTTCTGTGCATCAGTGGTCAAGTCTTTCTGCACATTTGTACAGTCACCTGTTTAAAAGGTATTTATTCAGTTGCCATGACAACTAGGTTGTATCTCTAACAAAAGTGATTTAGTAGGCTTAAGTGACACAAATCTTTCTGATTGACAGACAGGTAATTGGACGCCAACTTTCTCATAGCAAGACTACAAAAAAACCTGTTTTGAATGCTATCTATCGTGGTTTCAACATAAATAATTATCTATGAAGTGTTCAGGCAAGCCCTTGCAAGGAGGGTAACAACTAGATAGGCGCATGCAACCAGAGGACCAAGGAAGAAATAAGGCTATGGTTCAACTGCGTAAAAAACACGAGGGAAATGCAGAGGAATTCCTCCCTACCTATGCTTCAGTCTCCATGTACATCCCGTGGGTCAATCTAATGGTTCCTGTACTTTCCTAAAGCCATCCCACATATACTCTATGTTGTCAATTCATGTGTAGTTGGCTTTATCCTCCTACTTACCAACTGACATTCTGAGGTCGAATGATAATCTTTCTGTATGCTCCAGAAAGTGAATAATCTCTGATCTTATGCCTCATGTTGTTGATATCGAGATTGTCAGCTACTAGCATTTCCTTGTAGGCCTCACCAACTGCAAGAGAGGAAAGTATTTAATCAGAGAGAGCATAGCGCAGCTGACTGAAACAGCCTCTTTTCATGGATCATTCTTCCCTTATATTTAGCAGTTTTCAGCATATATGGGATAAATATTACACAGAAGTTTAAAATTACTTATTGCAAATCTTATTACCTACAATGTTTGCTTCTACAGTCTGATTAGTAGAGACAGTAACCAAGAAAGAATCTTAGCAAATCAAAATTTCCGCTGAAAAAAAAAAATTACAAAATATTTCATTGACATCTCATACATGCTTTCCAATTATCTAAACTTCACAAGACTCATCTCAGGTATATAGAGAAAAAAAATGGGCCGGACTACCCATTGCTCTATCTTTGAAAAAGCAGCAGAGTGAAGTAAGTTTAAGAGAGCCCTCTGAAGAAATTAGCCAGTAGGGACCTCTAAGTACACTGCCAACAGGAGGAGTAATTTTATTACAGTCTTGTGTCCTTAAGTAAGGGCGGGTGCACGCACACCTGGGGAAGACAGAGAAGGCGATGGAAACACAAGAATATACTGCAGCTAAAATGCTGTCTGGTGCCTTTGATTTGCAGTGCAATTGCCAGCATTACTTCATGCAGTTGGGAATTTTAAACAGGAGTAAGTTAGGCTTACTGTGGGCAAACCCCAGTATAAAAATATGGAACGTAAAAAATTGCAGCTTTTCTTCCAGTCTTTTAACTCAATGTGGTTCAGTGCCACGCCTCATCACAAACAGATCTTTACCTTCCAAGTCCTTCAGAGACGGGTGTTAAAATGGGATCCTAGCTCTGGGACTTATTTCTGACAGGCAGAGAGTCTCAAGAGACCTGACTGGTCTTTTAAGGACAACCAAGTACGAGAGCAGTTCAACCAAACATTGAGGAAAACAAGCATACGTATTGGGAGACTGGTTTGATTAAGTAGGGAACTCATGACTCGGCTCATATGTAGGGACACACGCAGTAGGTGAAAGCTAGGGCCAGCTACAAAGAAAGAATATACAAACATTGTCCAGGCACGTAGGGTTGGGGGTGTTAGGAAAGCCAAAGCTCAGCTAGAGTTGAAATCGGCAACAGACATCAAGAGCAACAAGAGTTAAACTGCAACATCAGGAATGAAAGAATACAAGGAAAATGTTGGTCTGCTGCTAAACGGGGCAGGTGGTCTAGTGACAGACATAAGGCTGATGGTCTCAGCACCTCCTTTGCCTCAGTCTTGACCAGCAAGGTCTCCCAGGCCTCTGCTCCTAGAGGCAAGGTTTAGGAAGGAGAGGGACTACCAGTAGTAGAAGATACAGGCTGAGAGAGCGGGCTCACGTCAGGGTAAAGCTTTTCTTTGTCATCTCTGAAAGATCGTGGAGATCTGGGGAGGTCTCAGGTGACTGCAGAAAACCAAGTGTTGCACCCATCTTCAGAAAGGGCAACAAGGATGATCTAGGGAACTAGACCAATCAGACTCACTTTGGTCCCTGGGAAAAACAATGGAGCTAATCCTCTTGGAACATGTTTCTGGACACACAGTGAGAGTAACAGTGAGAATGGTTTTACCAAAGGGGGAAAAGGAAAAGAAAAACCAAAAAACCCACCAACCTTACTGCCTTCTGTGATGAAATTATTACATCTGCGGACAAGGGGAGAGCAGTGACTGTTGCCTACCTTGCCTTTAGCAAGGCTGTTGACATGTTCCCACAGCATCCTTGTATCCAAGGTTAGAACATTACAGTGGGTGGACTGCTAGATGGGTAAAGAACTGTCTGGCTCATCATCTCAAAGGATCGTCACTAGCGGTTTCAGCTCTACCTAGAAGCTCATTATAAGCACAGTTCCTCAAGGAACTGGGATGTGTCCTGCTTACCTTTATCAGCGTAAGTGGAGGAGCTGGAATTCACCCCAAGTCTCTGGACAAGATCAAGCTGGGGTGGCACTTGATACACCCAGGGGCAGGACTGCCATTCAGAGGGACCTAGGCAGGCTAGAGGAATGGGCCAAGAGGAACCTCATGGCATTCACCAAGGACAAAGTCCTGTCCCTGAGAGTGCTTAACTCCTTGCAGTGGTACAGGCTAGGGAGCAACTCTGCTGACAGTCACCTGGGACTCCCAGTGGAAAGGAGACTTAACAGAGCACCCTGGCCGCAACACAAGCTAATAGCAACAGGACTTTAGCCAGCAGCTACCTCAAGAAAAATTACTGCCCTTTACTGGGCACTCATGAGACTGCACTTGGAATAGTGTGTCCAGTACAAAGTAGATGTTGACAGACTTGAATGAGTCCAATGGAGGACCACCCCAATGGCCAGGGGCTGTAGCCCATGCCCTGTGAGGAGAGCCTGAGAGAACGGGCCTTCTTTAGCTTAGAGAAGAGAAGACATAGAGGAGAACTTAGCAACTATTTGCTCTTCAAAGTTTCAGACCTGACAGGACAAAGTCTGTCAGGCAAGCTGGCCTGAATACAGCACCGACCTTACTTTGACCAAAAGACTGGACCAGATGGCCTCCTGAGGTCCCTTCCAACCAAAATGATTCTACAGCTCTATCCCTTAATAACAACATCGCGTTCCATGCAGATAATTATAGATCACTCAACCTATTCCATTAAAAACATTTTAGATCCAACATACAGGAGCTGAAAGATATGCTTTTTTTAATATTCTTTTTTTTTTTAATATTCATATTGTTTAATATTTAATTAAACAGATCTGGTTCTTTTTCCTAACTTCAAGTATTTGCTTGGGTTACAAATTCCAGGAGTTTAGTTTGTTTTCTAATTTAAAAATCAAATGCGTTCACTTTTCAATTAATATCTCACCATTTTTTTCCCCTTGTGCTGAGATAAATAATTTTGCCTCGGTAAAAAATTTCTTTCTTAGGAAAAGCTACCAGCTAAAAAGAAATATGAAACAGATTTACGTTAAATGAAACAATGCAGACTAGTATTTTCACAATGGAAGAGGCTGACAGTAATGTATCAGAGCTCTGAAACAGTGTATTTTTTTAATGGTCACCAAGGTTGCATAGACCTAATCTTCCTTTTAAGAACAATCTTAAAGCAGACTTACATTTTCAGAGTAAGTACGTAAGTTAACAGACTTACTTTTATGCTTTGGATAAATAACATCAAATCCAGGCAATGGCATCACTACATCATGGATAGTGTAATTATCAACATCTCCTTCTTCGATATGAACAGCTGTGGCTACAATCAGGACAGAATAATGAAGAGTTACCAGTATGGATGCCTGTGACAGTTAACATCATTAGCTAAATTTAAAATGAACCACTTGATTGAAACAAGCCTACTTTTGAGAGGGATAACTACTGTGTTTTATCTCCACTTAATAGACAACATTTCCAAGAAAAGAAGTAACCGTCTTCAGAGCTGTCACAGTTACCAGCAGAATCACAGCCTGGTTTCCAGTGACTTTTAAAGCTGAATGACATAAGAACGGCTAGATGAACAGTCCCCTAACCAGGCATCCATGAAGGAGAAATATTATAGATGTTCTCACCCCAGGGAAATGCCAGAGCAAATCCAAGTGAAGAAAGTTTTAACTGAGTGGCGTCTCTGCTTTGCAAGATACTAATGCAGACAAAAACTTCTGTGGTTAAAACATTCATAACATCCTTCCATAGTTCTCCATAGCTCAACTAGGTTTGAGTTCATTCTTGAGAACAATCAGTCCTTCATAGTCTCTCTTCCCTATCCAGCTATTTGGAAAAACAAGCAAACCAACAGCTCATGGAAGTGCAATACCTAACTTCCGATTCCTTGCAAAATCTGACTAAAACTGGTCAATGGATTCAGAAATCACTGGACCAAAATGAGCGAGAAGGAAAAGAAAATATCTGTTTATGTGATAAGGCTGACATATGTGCCTTGTTTTCCTAGGAGTTTGAATTACACAGCACCACTGGCTTTTTGTTTGACTGATTTTACCTCCTTTAAGTGTGAGATCTCCTGGTACAGCTCTAAGCCCATATTCTTCTATTCTCTTGCTCACCATATTATTCCACACATAACTCTGGTAGCTATGAATATACATTAAACGATTATTTCTTGGTATCTAGAGGTAAAGGGAAAAAAAAAAAAAAGTGAAACGTTAGAAAGATGTATTTTTAGTTTTTTCTCTCATTCGTAACTAAAAATGCACATATTTGAAGTGTTACCTTCTCCAGGAACAAGACTAACATAATTTCTTGGTATACAGATTTTATTTTTGTTCATTACTTGGGAAGAGGGTATGTGAAGAAATAATGCTTGTATACATTTGAAATCCATACAAAACCCCCTTGTGCTTAAATTTAAAAAGAAAAGCTTTGGTTTTATTTTTTATTATTCAACAGCTCATCAAACACATGGGGCTATTATAAAACACTGAATTCATACTCAGCCTCCTGAAATCTTAAGTAAACTTTGCAGATGTGAAAGCACAGTGTTATTCTAATTATCTTCTTCATAAACAAGAAATTACTCCTCTGCTCCTACAATGGGCCCAGTAGTTTGCTGGTGATGAGGTATTTTCTCCAAAGGCTTGATCTTGATTACAGTACTTCAAAATGACAGTGAATCCACCACCTCTATGCCAAGCTGATTCATTAGCACACTATCAGTTTGATTTATACTTTTAAAGCAACAGAAAAACTCTGATACTGAACTTTTGCACAATTCTCAGATCTGTATTATACACGGTTACTAAGTAGGACTGTATTGCTTCCAAAGTACCAGAGAGATTGTTGTATAAATCGGAAAGCTCATTATGCATATATTAATTACAGATGATGTCAGTTACCATGCAGCAGTACTTCAGGCAAAAAGGCAGGATAAATGTAAAGATTTTACACTTAATCTTCTACTCATCAAGCATCTATGAGTCTACTTCAAATTCATCATGATACCATCAAAAGAGCGTTTATTGAAGTAAATACCCCAGAGCACTTTTACACTCACTATGCCAAATGCAGCGATTATGTTCTTCATTCCATACTTTAAGAGTCCACGTAGAAGCTGTCCTTCCACGCACCTTTTTACAGGTAGTTTCTTGAGGGCTGCTGCTGGATCTTTAGTCTTTGCCCATTCTTCTCTGCATTTTACTAAGTATCCCTTCTCAGCTAGAACGAGGATGTAAAATAAAAATATTTTAACTACACACCAAAAAGCATCTATCTCACCTTTGGTTAAAACAGTTAAAAAATTGAAGTTTCGGTCACAGTAATTACACAGATTAACAGAATCACAGAATAGTCGAAGGCTTCACATGGAGTCTGAGCAGACTCTGTGTATAAGTATTCCACTCCCTTTTCACCCCCACTGCAAGAAACTGCACAGCAAGGAAAGAGAAGCAGAAAGGCAGAGAGTCTGAAGACTGCTTCTCCATTGCTAAACTGGCTGAAGTTTAGCATGTGCAAAGCTGTCCTCACAAACGTCCTTTCAAAATTACAAGAATCAAAATCTAAAAGTGCTTTTCCTGAACACACAATTCTTGGAGGAGGAGAGGCAGAAACACTTGATGTGTAATTTTTCAGTCCTTACCTCCTGGTCGTGGTTTTAATATCAAATCCATTACTTCATTCCAATTGTTCTGTAGAATAGCTCTAAGATTCAAACAGTAGAAGTTTATTAAGAACTGACTAAATATATTTTAAGGAGATTTAGCCAAATTATCCAAAAAAAGAAGTACTAGTGTTTAGATTTATGCAATATTAAAAGTAGTGGTATTATGCAGGATACCTGCTAAAGCAAGTTCAGAAACAAGCTCTTTCTTGACTCTAAAATTAGAACTGGCACATGCAATATGCTAGAAAAACATTCCCAAAAATACATTAGAAGTTATACAGGGATAGGGATAAAAAGAAAAATAAAATAAAATAAAGGGGGATGAAACCAACACATACCTGCCAATTTGATATGTAGGAACAGCTGTGGTTCCAAATCTTTGCATTCCATAGTAATTAATGAATCCAATTTCCCTGAGAGAGTGCATTGCTTGCTCTATCTGGTCATCAGTTCCGGTTATGTTTCTAGCATAAGAAGTTAGATTATTAAGGGCTTACACTATTTTGTGATCCCCATAATATTAAAGCTCAACATCAACATTATATAGCATGTATCAAATTCAACAGACTCCTGAGAATAGAAGGACTTTTCTTCTTTTTTGTAACACAAGATGCACTGATATCCCTTACCTATTTAAAGAAAAAAAAATTCTAACAGAACTATCTAAATACATACTAACATATTACCTGAGAACAACAGTGAAATGGTTCCCTTGCAGTTCTCCTAATTTCAGTGGATGGTTCTTGTAACTGAAATTTCCTAATTTGAAGTTCATCAAACATTTATTCAAATGAGCAAGTCTTTGTGCAGTGATTCTAAAAAGAAACACACAGCAGTGACCAACCTATGCTTAGAAAAGCAGATAGTTAAATAAGTATAGAAATGTCAGCATTTCAAAACAAAAAGCGGCAAGTCCAGTTTCCCCAATTTTCTGTTGTTGCCTTTTCAAAGTATTTTAATGAAATATCTAAAAGAAAAGAACAGATAATTCTTAAGGCTACTTATACAAGAGAAAAGGCATACCGTGACAAAGACTGTTAGTACTGTCTTTTCACATCTGTGTTACAGTATGCTCTCAAAAAAAGAGTCTGTTGCAAAAGTATGTTGATGTATACTGTACCCCACAAATGGAACTCTGCTTTATTTGAGTGACTACACCATGAATACACTCCAGTTAGCACAGTCATCAACACACAGATAAGTAACTAGCTACTGTGTAAGCTTAGTGCAGATGAAGGAGTATGAAATCCAACCTGTCGCTGATACCTGTCATTTTTGTTGCTGCTTTTGGAAGCATACCCTGTTCGTTGCATTACTGAGCTGCTCTTTGACACTTCCACTAAAATTTATACCAGGAGAGACAAGTTTGTCAGCTAGCATGGCCAGCGTACTCAGCTCAGAGCAGGCTGATAAATGGTTATGTCTCCTCTCCCGTGCCATCCTTCTCCAAGGCTGCGCAGGAGAGCCGGGTACTGTGGCACTGCTGAACAGACACCACAAATCTGTACATTCCCCCCCCAATCAATGCTTACAACACCCTGAAGCTCTTTGACACAACATTAAACGTGATCATGTTAAAAGTAAACGGAACAGCACCTGAGATGGCTACATCACAAGTCTGGTTAACTGTCATCACTTTGCAAACTTGCCTTGCAGCAACGAGAATCTGGGGCTTCTCACGATTCACAAATTAGTAATTCCTTTTGTGTGTGCAAACATATGCACATGCAAACCACTGGGAGGAAAAATATTAACAATTAAGTAGTGAATACCCTCCTTTTAACAAGGATTTGATCAGATTTCTGGCTTTCAAACCTTGGAATTCCTCACTTGAGGAGTGTGGTTTTCAAGGAGTTGTAAATAGCAGTCCAGACTCCAGCTAGCTAAACAGATATTGTAATATATGACTGCGAGGCATCCATCATCCTCAGTTATGGATGTAACACTAATTTCAAGTGCCCAGAAACCATATAATTATCTTGGAATACAACAAAATAAATCTTATTTTATCTTAGTAGGCAACTTATGGGAGTAGGTTAAGGCAGGAAAAATTCCTCATCATTTTTTTGCCCCTTCTGGCTACTCATAGATGAGCAAAGGCAGTGGTTAGCCGTCTCTGGAGCTGTTCAGAGAGTTCAGTGAGAAAGAAAATAGTATGCCAGCTGGAGGAAGGGGGAAACAAAAATCAGGAAGGAAATGGGACATAATTTTCACTGTGTCATTCTGTTTTTCTGCTGTTGCAAAGGAGCCATGCAGCGTAAGAGCACGTAGGCAATTTGGCCCACTCCTTCAGCCAAATACACGTATCCAGCCTATGACTCAGAGCACCGCTGACTGAAAATACTAGCAATCACCATGGAGTAAAAAAGGATTATAGCGTCTTCGTTAATACATGTGCTTTACAAGATCAGGACCTGAATCCGCCATTTGTGTCACATGCATACCGAGTCTTCAAGGTATTTAGTGAGATATTCAGGTTATCACGGGAGGAGTGCAAATACTACAGAATATTTTTACTTACCTAAGAACAGCAATCTCTTGAACTGTTATAGCCCTTTTATCTTTAGTTCCCATGTAGGAAAATATGTTTGGCTTCACTCTTAAAAGCAACAGTAACAGATATTATGTATATTAAAATAGCTGCAGATCGAACATAATTTTCAGCGTAATTACCTAGAATTCCCCAGAATTAGGCTACAATTTGACACCCCTGAATACATGTGACATTTTCTAATCTCATCTCTAAGTACATAAAAAACAGGGAAACTTCTCTGTTTTAATTATATGTAGACAGATTCACTTTTACCACAACTGTGCTTTCAGAATATGAGCTTTGAAGTACTTCTCTATACACATCCACTCAGTGCACAAATGCGCAGCCACCACTAATTTCACTTAAAAAAGCATATCCATTTCTTCCTTAAACTTCAAATAACATGCCTGTTTGAATACCATGCATGCACATTATGGGAGAATACGAGACGTTAATTTAAAATTTGATCCATTTCTTTCCTTGAGAGGAAAATTTCCTTGCTTTTCCACTTCATACTTTACAGCCTGTGTTACACAGGGAATATTTCCAGTTATTCCAGCTATGGGCACCAGGGGGTAGCAGGAGTGCCATTACATACATTTTTCCACCAAACTATGCTCTTACCATTCTGTTCTCAAATACAAATACTAGTAGTATACTGGTTAGAGTCTAGATTACAAACATTTATTTTTGGACAGGAAGGGTGAGGGAAAAGGAGGGGAGAAGTGGGGAAGTTTCCCTAAGCAGATCACTGAATTGACCCAATTTCAAAATAGTCCTTCCTCTGCAATTCACTGTGCTCACATCACGCCGCTGGCAAATCTTTTTGTTGCTGCACTTGATGGGGTGAAAGGAACTAAGACGGTGTTGCCATGGAGAAATTAATACATAGAACAAGAGTTTATCAACTGTAACTGCTTAGGAACTGATCAGCATATTATCGCAACAATATCTGACAGGTTCATAACATACTTGCATATATTCACATGCTGGGGAAAAAAACTGGCTTTTAATTCAGGTTATGCACATTGAGGCTTTGAACTGCCGAGCCTTTCTCAGATCAGCCAACTTCAATTGTGGACCTTTTTCCACTGAGGTAGTAGGGTGTACAGTCTTAAATTTCTTGGGATCATTTTGTTCCATTCTCACCTCCTTCCAAAACTTACAAGTTTCAAATTTGATATTTTTGTTTTAAACATTGGCTACAAATTAGGCAACACTTGTGCTGCTCTTACATAATTCTGGAGCATAACATTCACAGTAATGTGAAACATGCTGGGGGGGGACCTGCATGCTAGCCAGGCTGGCAGAAACAACAGCCTTACCTTAAAAATTTGGAGAGGACATTTATGGCATCCATAGTATCCTTGTTCTCCTTGTACAGTACAAAGTGGCAGTAGCTTCCCCTAGATTTTGGCCAAGAGTGTTTTCTTGGATCTTTAAAAACAAAAGGTTAAAATTTGTAAAGTGTCATTTTTTATATTTAATTAATACCTTTGCCATTGCAGCTACATTCAAAACAAATATGTAGAAGTCAATTTCTGCTAATTTCCATCTGCTTTTTTTTAAAAAAAATAAAAAAGTGAATTACTGGCAGCAAAAGCTGCAAGGCACGTTGAAAAAGACCTTCTCCTCTTCCACTGGGCTGTAAACTTATCTTTCATCAATTCTGTCACCTAGAAAATCTTGAATGAAATGGTGACAGTTCCTTTGTTATGAGATTACCTAAAAATATACCCTAGTCATTTAACTGCCACATTGCCTGATTAAATTTCTCAAAAACATTATCATTACGCTGACTTCCCGCAATAAAAGCCACTCTACATTTCATCTAGTGTCTTCTATAATTAATAGATGAGGACCATTGGAGCCCTGTTTGTGGGAAGACTACAATAATTATTTGTAGTACTAACATATTCTTTATTTCTGTAGGATTTTTTCTGTATGTCACGCGAAAGCATGGGTTGTATCTCTACAAAAGCCTAAAAAAAAAAAGTATACTCACAAAAAATTTAATGTGAATTCTTTTTCAAAAGTCCTGTGGGAGAGAGAAATCTGGCACAACAAAGAGAGAAATCTGGCACAATAGAGACATTAACAAATAATTCAAGCCAGATACTGTGCCATGTTTAGAGAATGCCAGAGGGAAAGATAACTTCAGCTCCTGCAGACTAACAGCTGATTTACAATTCTGTACAATTATTTGGCCTGGAGAGGGAAGAAAACTGTCAGTGTATTTGTCAAGCTTTTTTGCACATAAAAGCCTCCAGAGATAAAACTTTCCTTTTACAATCATCCACTGTTGATGGCATTACTGGGAAGGGGGATTGTTTCTACACAGGTTTAGCAACTAATTTTTAGGTGCTTTGTTTATCAGTTCTTTGTTTTATAAGGACAAAACTAAGGATTTGTTCTGTTTTAACTAAGAAGTCCCTTATCTCTCGGTAGCCACCAAGCAGACATTCCTGGTTTTGTACAAAAAGGGCTTAAGTGTCTTTCGTAACAGCAAAAGCTGACTGAAAAAGCCAGCCCGATTCCAGTATATAAACACCAATGCAGGAAGGAAGTTCTTGGGAAATTTTGCTCTTTTTGTTCATGTTAGTTTAATAAAGCCCAGATATCCCACGCAGACAGTGAATATGTTTAATTTTCCTGAAACTTTCTGGTAAAAATAATTCTTCTTGCTTTTTTTGAGAAGCTGCCATCCATACACACACTTCTGCAAAAACAATTTTGCATGCTACAGTATAAAATACTATACATGTAGTTTTTAATCACTTAAAAATTATTGCAACGCCTGCCTTGTACCATCAGTTTCTAGGCAAACCCTCCCCCCAATGGAGTTTTCTAGGACCTAAACTAAGCAGTATGGTCCAAAGCCTGTTAAGAGACCTCATGCTCCTGATGGTTTCCCTTCTGAGCCACCACTGTTCTTAAACACAGTCAATGAAATACTGCATTCAGCTTGAAGAGCAAGGTCCCTCATGAAGAACTCGGTAATTAGAAGGGAAGAGAGGAAGACAGAGCGTGATACACACGGAAAGTCTTCTCCAGCTGGAATTAGTCTTTAAATTTAACTAATCCATCTTGCACACGGTCATTTCAACATCCTTCAAAAAGTGAGCCCTAATCTGGGCTAGACTAAAAGGACTCTATAGATACTATTATATACCAACGAGCTCCTCACGCTTTGGGCATCACAGCTATGCGCCTATCCACCACACTGCTGGCCATGCTGAGTACTGGGACTCTGCAGCTACAGTCCCGATATTTAACCACTCCTCACCCAATACTTCAAAGTATTCAACTGGGTAGATGGACCAGAGGGACAGTCTGCAGTCCTTATTGCTATGTTTCAGAGTTATGTTACATTTTTGACAGTTAAATCGTATTTCCAAGCCCTTTTTCCAAACCTTTTACTGCCAACTCAAGGGCTGGAAGCTCTTTTTTGAATATCAGGATGTATGATATATACTTTTAAAGTTGTATAAATACAGATAGTGGTGTCTGAAATACAAGGCTGAAGGGCAAAGGCTTGGCGTAAGGAAATCAATGGAAATTTTACCATAGATGTCAAACAGTATAGTCAAAACTGATAATTCACATCACTTCTTACTGGCAGACTTTCTCTGCACTGAGTCACTACTGCCTATATTGCACTAGGAAAAAAGAGGTAGCGCAAGCCCAATTCTTGGCTGTTTCCAGGAATTTTAAGCATTCCTTATGTGTAGGGTTTTTTAATTGTTACTAGTTTGGCCAGTCTTGTCGCTATTTAGGAGGTCGTAATGGTTGGCATTTCATTTTGTTAGCATGAAATGTCAACATCTCTTACCTGTTGCAGTTCTGACCTCTGTCCCAATGCATAGCATAAAGAGCACAAAAGAGCAGCATTTAATTTTTAGACTGTCGAAGGGTTTTTAGAGGTGAACATGCAGGTTTATGGTTATGGGATTGTTTATGCTTTAGAGAGCATCCAACAGTTAGGTGGTGGATGACAGCAATTTAGACAGTTATGCAATGGAATCGTGCAGAGGCAAACAGTGAACATATGGAAAGCTTCAATTGGAGATGCAACAAACTTCGTTTGTGGACAATGATGAAACAGCAGTTTACTGACAATTTAGTAAGGCAGTGTTTTAAGTATTCTGGGTGTAAACTTAACTACAGACACAAAGCAGCTTCTAATTTTAAATTTTAGGAAAGCATGTTTGGTAACCTTTTACATTATCAACACAAATAATCAGAGGTCTCTGCTAATATTCGAATATTCTACACTTCTGAAATGTTTCTTGCCTGGGGAACCCACTCAGGACTAAGACGTGTTAGTGGCTGTATAAACACGCAAGATAAATATAATCCTGACTAAAAAGAACTTGCACTCTTAAATCCTCCATTCATAAGCATTTACACACACTCACTGAAACTGCACACATCTCCACCAACATGCACAGGTGTTTGTAGCATCACAACTTAGGAATCCAAGTTTAAATAGATGATGCTCCTCTGCATCACAAGATGGTGCTCCAGATAATGTTTTAATCCTAGAGACACATCACTAAATTCTTTTCAGTGTATTTCAAATACTTAAATTCTTTTATACAGTATCTGTTAAATCAGACTGGTCAGCTTAATAACAACCACTTGACTGTAACAATGGCTAAAGAATAAAAGCAGCAGAAGGACAAGGTGGAGGTAAAACCATTACAAACCAACAGAGAACAAAACTGGCTGAGGAAAATTTTGTGCTGGTAAGTATACATACTCCATGCATAAAGCATGCAAACACACATTTTCTAAACATGGTTAAACAAGGTACACAAACACATTACAATCCTACCAATAAAAGTACAACATTCCCATATTTGCTCAGAACAAACCTTAAAAAATAATAACTAAACTGAATGTGGAGATGGTGTTATTTACCATTTTAAATTATCTCCTTATCCTTTCTCCATCTCCTTTATCTTTAAAATGAAAGGGCTAGGCTTACATACTGTCATTTGAGGTAGGTTGAAATGACATAGGAATGCAATCAGTTCAAACCAAAACTTAATACCTTTCGTTAAATGTGCAAAATTCTGCCTGTAGACAATCCTCTCAACTTACAGTAGCAACAAAGTTCTAATAACATTAAAAGATGTAGAACACTTGAATTTAACCCCCATAACCAAAATAATATTTGGCAAGATTAAGGTGGATAACACTTCATTTTGAAAATCCTTCATTACTTTGATTATTCCAAAATAGTAACTGTGATTTATAATGAATAAAGACAATTTTCTGCAAATATAATTAGCCTTGGAAGCACAAGTAGCCTTAAAGATCATGGTAAATATGTTTATATAAAACTATAACTCTGAGAAAACAAATAGGTGCTTGTCTCTATTCAAGTCATTGAGAATATTATCATGGATTTTCAAGACAGTCAAAATGACACCGACTGTCAGCGTAATGTACGCATTTCAATTACAACCTCTTACTTCCACAATGCACGCTTACAGAGGTAAGTGTTCAGGTCAGTTCATGAAAGCTAAGTTCAAACAATACTGAAAATAAAGCCCCTATTTTGCCTGTTCCCACTGAAATAGCAGAAGATCCTCTCACTTCTAACATGGCTGGATTTGATGAATGATTTGGAAAGAAAAACAAGTAGAAATTTAAATTTGAGACACTCCTTGTGTTCCTAATCATTTCAGATGCACAGCATCAGTTGCCCAGAGGAAAAAACAAAGCCAGGCTATATTAGGAGGTACGTTCCACTTGAAGGACTTACTAACGATTTTTATTCTTGGGATAATTTTAGCATTTACTTTACCCAACTGCTGTGATACTGAAACTCACTTGCCAGTGCTTTTTTCCCAGCAGCATGATAAGCAATAATGTATTTTTTTCCATCTCGATCTTCTGTTTTAGTCTCCAGTCCAGGAAACAAGGACTTCACAGCCTGATGGATAACTGTTCTTTTTTCTTTGGTGTCTTCAATTACCTGTGTTAAAACACACACATGAAGAAACCAAATAAAGTAATACAAAATGGGAGGGATTCTCTTGGAGTTCAATTTTGCATCTTTAAAGAAAACCCACCAAATCACACTAATGTACTGAATAGGTATACTTTTAAAAGTCTGGCCTACTTATTAAAATTAGTTTGAAAAATAATAAATAGCTCTGTTACAAACTCCAGTCTCAACATTCAAATAAGAAAATTCTCAAGATTTATTCCGCTCTTCTGTGCTTAATAAAATTCCCTCTTCCAATGAAAACTCTGGCAAAATGAAGTTTTTCTGTATGCATTAAAGGAAAAAAAAAATGGCTAGATAAGATTATTTAATGTGTGAAAGCTTATTTGAAATTACCAGATTTAATCCTACTCATCTCTGTGTCCCAAATTTAGCTCAACAGTTATTCTTCAAGCATATGGAATATCTGGATGTTTAAAAATACCAAGCTTTAATTTCATTTTTTACCTTCTTATTTTTCTTGTTACAGAAGAGCGTATTTATCTTCTTTTCTATCAAATTACTAAACACTGACCTTGAAAACAGTCCTTCATCAGGATGGATGTTTTATTTAATCCTTCTTACATAATTATCCTATAAAACACTACTAGACAGAAAACCAAAATACTGCAAGAAAATTTTAACACCACAGAAATTAAGACATGTATTTGAATTCATGCGTACAGTCCCATCAAAATCACGACAACAACTCATGTGCATGCATCTGAGTATATCTGTAAGGCTTTACAGAATTGAACCCCAAACTGGAAACATTTCGGTATTACTTGCTGCATCATGTTCAAACTACTTTTGTACCTTACATGCACTAGAAAGCATGTACCTTTCACTCATTCACTCTCTCATCCTCCTCCCCCACCCCAAACTTCACATCACTTATTAATTTTACCTCTATGGCAACACTAGTTTCCTTATTCTTAAGAAGCTGAAGTTCCTCTAAACGTTGCTTGTCTTCATCCGATAAAACTGTAAATGTTTCTTCTGATGGGTCCTAACACAAATTTGGGGGGAGAAAAACAAACATCCAATAACCCTCACAGAACAACATTCAGCCTTTTAATGTTTTTGCTTAAGAAGCATAGCCATTACCAAATCTTTACCTCAAAATTTACCTCATCATCCACTGGAACAGAAAAGTCATCTAAATGGCTCACACGTCCATCTTTGCCTATTTCATGGACAACAAAGTCTGAGTATCTGACAGGAAAAAACACGCATTAAAATTGTAATAAAAAAATAAAAATCTCACATCACATAAAGTCCTTTCCCAAGAAGCTGTTTGTTAGCAGAATTCATTGAAGAATTCTGAATTCACATAATTCAATTCATGTAAAAGAAACTTCAACCATGAGAAAGCTGTACCTATTCTCACCCCTCAGAATGATACCACGAGGACACAGAAGAAAGTCTGGCATATCTAAACACAGCAGACTTCCTTGCAGATAACCGAACACCTGCTGTAGTTATTCTGAGTCATTTCATTCCTAGCTTGCAGAGATCAGTAACGCAGATCCTCAATCCCAGTCATTACTGACAATTAAGACTCTACCGCATTGCTACAGCGTGAACACAAATGCATTAACTCTGTCACTTCAAACAACCTGCAGAATAAAGTGTGTATGAGCCACTCTAAGGAAAGGAGGACAAATTCAACTCTGTTACATATATTCAATTATAGAGAACATCTTTCAAATAAACAGTTACTCTGCATACTCTATGATAGCAACAAAGAATTTGACCATCCTGACTTTAACAGAGCACAGAGAGTCTATGTTGCAATTGCTAAATGATTTTTAAGTAACATCTGCTTGTACAGGAAAATAAAAGAAAAAAATTCTTAGTCTATGAATGTTGAAAGATGAATAAAACTTAACCATGGGAATGTTTCTACTGTAGCTCCCCCAAGCCTCTGCCATACATCATATTGGTAGAATTCCTCCCCGAGGAGCATTATGTGTCCTCTCTCGTATTATCTGTAGCTGTCTAGACATGCTAGTGACTGGTACCATAAAAACGCCAGGACTAAATTAATGCTAGGCGTTATAAACTAGGATCAAAGAAAAACCATGAGCCCACAAACGTTTCTACCACCCAGCTACCCTTGGCCACCCCGGTTCAAAACTGGCAGATTTCCCAGAAGGATGTTCAGCACAGACTGTGTTCCCCAGTGAAGGATTATGCTAGCTGCTTAATGCTGCAAATAAAGGTTAAATACATACATAATATGTACATATCACTTTATTATGTAGAATGATCTATATATGAAGCCAGTATTTAAAAACAGGGACTTCTTGGTGTGTAAACAAAGCACCCTTAACTGCTTTGCTAAGTCAGGGCAACAATGATTCTCACTTCAGTGAGTTTTTGTATTTGCATTCTGTTTTATTCAGAGATGTTATTTAATTTAAAAACCCTAGAAGTTTCATTAAAAAAAAGCTACAAAAACCCAAACATCTTATTAAGTATATAATGTAAAATTCCACACCCTGAGTTATAAAATTCCCTTTTGTGTTTTGTAAATGACATTACAACTGAGCAGACTATAATTTAAAGCCTAGTGGACCATCTGAGAATATACATGTTTAAAGATATTAGCACAAAAATGTTAGGGAAAAGCAAAGAACCACAGAGGGATGGTTTCAATACCGTTCTCCAGTGCGTCTTTTATCAGCACTGAAGAGTGGTACAAAAAGTGGGTGTACCACATAAGGTTTTATGCTATACGCTGCTGCCAGAGAGCAAGACAAACGGCAAATGTCAGTGTAATCAGGTATTTCTGTCCATACACAGCTTCTTTCTTCAGAGCTGCATTTGACAGGGAAGAAGCAGGGGGGTGGGGGACGGGGACGACCAAAACAAAACAATCTAGAAAAGTCCCCAATTAAACCTTTCTTTCAGTCTCAGCACTAGGAAAAGAAAGTGATGAACTTCCCAAGTGGCTGCACACAATCCAGTTGCATCCTGCAAGTCAGAAAAGGAAAATGGAGAACAACAGCTGCTTAACACAAGGAATTAACATACATAACAAGACAAAGAGTTACCTCTCTTTTAAGATTCCAGAAAACCCTTTATGAGAGCTAACAAATTTAGTTATGCCAACATCACTTTCTGTCAGTCCATGCTTCATCATGTCTGCAAAGCTCTCTGGATCTCCATCTTCATCACTGTCCTCTAGTTCCTCATCTTCCTGCTCCTCACTTTCCTCATTGGGGATTATTTCATTTTTCATGTCCTCAAGCAGAGATTTGTCAGGTTGTTCTGTTACAGTCTCAACACTCTGCCTAGAGTCGTTCCCTGTCTTAGACTTCTCCGAGATCTTCTGTCTTTTAATTTCGTCTGCATTAGCCACATTGTCCTCAGAGCGAGGACGTTTCAAGGATACACTATTCATTTCTACAGTTTCCATGTTTAAGGCACAGTGTAGAACAGAAAGCGCTGAGAAGCAAGAAGAATGGCTTATTTCCTGTCTGCTTAAGAGCAATATCAATATATAGTCTCTTCACTCCAAGGACTCTGCGCCCTGCAACAGTTCAGGAAAACCACATAACTTTCTGCATTTTTAAGTTAAGCATCAAGTAAAAATTTAGTATGTACAGTATGTACTTGGGAAGAGGGAAGGGAGATGTTAAGGGGACTTAATACCCACCCAAGGCAGCATGCACGTTAGGCTACAGACAAGCAGGATTCAATACTGCACCGACCATTTACCACCATCGTCACCCTTGCCAACTCTTACATGGCTGCATCCAGCCCTGTGCACACAGGCTCTGCTGTCAATAGCAATTTAGTGCCTAAGAAACTTTTTGTTCCCAAGCCTTCTGCTAAACATGACTACTCTTGATAATTCCTTGTTCTAATAAGATTCTATCTTACAAGGATTGAGAGAGGATGGCTCGATTCCCCCAAACCTTAAATCTCATCTCTTCCTTTTCTATGTTCATCTCTTCTAACACACACAATCCCACACGAAACTCAAGGTGGCAGCAATTCCGACCAAAAGATAAGAGGGATGAGATAACAAAATCATTGAATGAGTGGGACAAACAAAACAACAAGCAAGTGGAATGATCTCTGAGAAGAACATGACTACTCACGCTGGTGGAGCAGAGCTCTGGCGCTTTCCTGGCAACTTGAGCTGCCACCTTTGCGTCACCAGAACTAGTACCTTCAGATCTGAAAAACAGAGGAAAACTAACTCTTTGAGAAAGTTTTAGGCAAAAAAGCACGACTATGTATGAATGCGATCATTGCAGAAACCAGCCACCTCTGGCCCCAGGTATCAGCACAGGAGCAGACACAACTACTCAGACGGACAAGTTAATAACAAATAGAATTGTGGAAGTGTTACCAACCTAGTGACATAACACAACATTGCTATTTAGCAACCTAGAGCAGAGAAGTTTCGTTTTATTTCTATGTTTATGAAAGGAGACCAGAGTTCCTATAATCAGGCAACGACAGGACCTTTCTCCCAGCATCACCCAACTGGCACACTGGTGTATTGGGGATAAACCGCAGGTTTTGGTAGCAGGGGGCTGCATGGGAGGAGGCCATCAACTGCCCCGTGCTGGTCATGGCCAGTTCCAGCTGTCCATAATGGACAAAACCCAGTGCCTGCCAAAACTCCAACTCAACAGATGAGCACACTGTGCCTCTGCTCCAGCTTATTTAAGAAAGGCAGGAGCTATTGGTGGCAGAAAGTGCAACGGGAAGCACAGTAGGAGGCACGTGACAGCATACTGAAAAAGACACAGGGGGAGGGACGGGGAAGGGGACATTGTTGGGGACACGGCTGGAGGTGCGATCTTGGAAGGAGGCTCTCCACACCAGAGCAGGGACACCCCTGAGAGGACTGCAGCCTGTGGAGGTGTCCAGGCTGGGGCAGGGACATCCCTGAGGGCACTGTGGCCTGTGGACAAGCCCACATGGCAGCAGAAGAAATGAAAAAGAAGGAGCAGCGGAAAGAAACCTCCACGCACCAACCCCAAGCTCCTGCACCACTGCTGCCTCACCCAAGGGACAGAGTGCAACCTGTGGGGACAACCAGGGGAGGGGAGACAAGGAAAGCAGGGGAGGGGAGGTGTCTGGAGTGAAAGGAAGGAAGAGAAAAGGAGTTTTCTCCAAGTGTTTGTTTAACTGGTTGTCTTCTTTGTATCTCACTAGCCAAACCAGTAATTAAAAGTTTATGTTAATTGGCAATAAATTAAATTAAATTCCCCGAGTCAAGACAGTTTTGCCCACAACAACAGGCAAGTTTCTAAATTAATAGGATTCCGCTGTTACTAAGAAATTAATCTAGGCACAGAGCAGTATTTTAGAGCTACACACATCATCCTGTATTATTTCTCCAGTCACTAGATAGCATATTCTATTTAATTTTAAAGGGTATGTTTTTAAAGGAAGACTCATTACTAACTCAATAATCACCACGTGCTGAGCTGTTAACTGTTACCAGCTAGCTGTTAGCCACTGCTGATTTCGTTGGCTGGACTTTCCGTTGTAGAGGTCGCAAACTTAGGGAAAAGAGGCAGGAACAACTGTTTTAGGAACACCCAAAATGTTTTGCTCAAATGAAGAAATGAAAATGGGCACTAGAAAAAAGAACGGTCAAAAGGGAAATAAGGAGAGACTTATGAAAAAGTGTATGATGCCTGAAGAGAGGAGTGACAAAATACACGCAGAAGAAAGCAGAACAATTAGCAAATCAACGTACCTTCAAGCAGAAAGCATCAATTTCAGTTTGTCCTCAAATAAAGTATATAAAATCCTTCTTTAAAAATAAAAAAAAATTAAAAATCATACCCAAAAGAAACAATTCACCAGCATTTCCAGATTCTTCTCCTGTGTTCCCAAATTTATGGAGCCCAGGTTATAAAGCACTGATGTGGAAAAGGCTTCTAGATGGCTTGTGAATGTCTTTGCATGGCGAACAAAACACCGCTCAGCACAGTGAAATCCTCTGAGACACCTGCCAAAGGAGGTAACAAGAAAAATCTCATGTTTTTTAAATAAAATTTTAATACCTAGTTATTGAATGATACAAACTGTTAGAAAAATTTAACGTTGGCCACAAATACTCCAAAGTTGTCAGATACGGCCTATTCTCACAGCAGAGGAATGACTCACAACAAAGTACTATCCTGTGCCAAATGGTGGCCGTCATCTGGGAAAATTTCTGCAGGATAATTACTTGAAGAAGCAAGTTGAAGTGAGTGGGGCACACACAGTCTCACTTGTGTAGATTGCTAGTGAGAGGCGCCTATTATTTTTTGACAGCTGCTTGACCGTCTCGGCCCTTTTCGTAGCAAACAGGTGTTTCCATAAAAGCCAGAATCTGCATAAACAGCAACTCCGCAGCAATTTCAACAGAGACTGTGTTTTAGCAGAGATTGAATTTACTGCTACAAATAAAGGGCTTGATTCTCCCCAGCAAGAAATGCTGAGCGATTACTTCTGGTGTGGTACCTGTCAGGCAGGCACGGGGGCTGGCGGGGGCTGTGGGGTGCTTCCCACTTAACACAATAAATAAAAGAGTAGGCGCCCGCCAGCGCTGGGTGCGAAGCCGGTTTCTCACGAGACGAGGCAGACGGGATGAAGGGGCGAGCGCCGGGTGGGGACGGTGAAACAGCCGCCCCCCC